ACGGGGTAACTCACATGGTCTAGCTCGACATTCCAAAGGCTCTCGACCGCGTTTGGCATGAAGGATTGCTGTCGAAACTACCCACGTTCGGATTCCACCCGTCTCTGGTATCGTTGCTTCATTGCTTCCTCAGCAAGCGAAACATCTTTGTCAGAGTAGATAGGGTCCTATCGCGACCACTTCGTGTAAACGCCGGTGTTCCCCAAGGTTCTATACTTTCCCCAAGCCTCTTTCGTTTAGTTATCAACGACCTTTTATCCCAAACATCTAATCCTATCCACTGCTTTGCCGATGATGCCACTCTCCATTGTTGTTTTTCTTACCCCACACTCTGTCAAGCTAATGCCAACATCGATCAAGATCGTAATGTGATTAATGCTTCTCTTGCCTCCGATCTCGGACTAATCTCCAACCCTGTGTATTTTAATGCTTTCAAAAGTTCTCTTCTCTCAGTCTCTCTTAAACATGTCTCCTTTTATCCTCAATTGATTTTTGATTCTCTGCCCCTTCGTTTCACCAATTCTCTCCCCCTCCTTGGTTCATCCATAAATCCTTCTCTGGTCACCTTTTTTCTCTAAACTGGCCTCTCGCGCTGCGCGCAAAGTTGGTTTTCTATTCCGCGCAAGGCGTTTTTTACACCCAAGCATCTTCTTCTATACAAAGCTCAAATCAGCCCGATGCTCGAATACTGCAGCCACGTACGGGGTGGAGCTTCGTATTCCGCTCTTTCTCTCCTCGACCGTATTCAACGTGAAGCCATCCGGCTAATCGACGAACCGTCTTTAACTTCCACCTTGCAGTTGCTTTCCCTTCGCCGGGCAGTTGCTTCGTCATCAATTTTCTACCGTCACTATTTTGGTTTCTGCTCTTCCGAACTCGCTTCCGCGGTCTTCCTTCAATTGACCTTTTTTCGTTCATCTCGTTCTCAGACGGGCAGTCACTCTTATCAGGTTTCTGTCCCCAGATGTTAGACTTCTATCTTTCAATCTTCTTTTTTCCCGAGGACTGCGAAATTGGGGAACACTCTTCCCATTTCCGTGTTTCCAAGCTCTTATAATCTTACCCTTTTCAAAAGCAGGATTAGTTCTTATTTGAATGTTCCCTCACATACGTGCTCTTTACAGTGTATCATTGATTATGGGTTTTAACCCTTTGGCTGTAAATCACTTCGTGTGTTATGAAAAAATCTTAGTGGTAGGCCGCTTGCCGTCGTCCGGTTCAAAATTACGCCTAACCAAGGGATATATATAAATGTTACTTATCTTTACAGATACTGCGCCAAAATAACCATGGGTTAAACGCGAAATAAGGAAACAGAAAAGGAAGAGAACAACAGTCAACTTTGGGGACAACAACATTTTTGCTTGTTTAATGCATGCCATTTTGACTTCTTTACTTTTGGGATCACATACAGGAAAGGATGCATTCACGCCGCTGGCTCCGGTTCCATACCATATACCGCAGTGTTTCCAGCAAAAGACAACGTGAATCTTTGGGGCACTAGCCGGGGTACCCCGGCGGAAGTCAAATACGGGCACAAACTCTTAAACCCTCTACGCAACGTCATAGCCTGCCCAACTTGTTGTTTCTTCCAGCCCGGACGAAGGTCTGCAAAATAGAGCACGGTGTGATAGACATTGTTCAGGCATTCGCAGGACGTGTCTCAGCCTCTTTAGGACAACGCAGTAAAATGGTTTTGCTCAGTGAAAAACTATCTGACCCTAGCACACGTGGTCTGACTTCATCGTTCTTCATGCGATTTTACCACCATAAGCTGGAGATGCACAGACAAACGTTGTCGAAGACGGATAGCCGATGAACATAATCTGCTCGAAGAGGCCAGGTATCGCAGAAACACGGCGCGTACTGTTGCGCCATGTACACGCCCTTTTAGTAAAAGGGATATGTCGCGCCGGCGCCAGGTATGCCGCATATTAGCAAAACGCTAATCTAACTTTGATTACGCGTTGACATGTCCTCGCCCACACCTCTGCCGGTCGTTATGAAGCTTACTAGGTAGACAGTGGTTTCGACTACTTCCAGAATGTGCAGGAACTGGTTCCTGCCAATCTTGCAACACCTTGCAAGGTGCAAAGGACATGCTGTAAGGAGTAACCTCAATTGTCAAACGATTCGGTGAGTCTCGAATCCTCGGCGCGCTGTCACCGAGGCAATATCATCGGCATACTCTAATTCTATGACTGTCTCCAGGAGGAGGCTTGATGCCAGCGTTCATTACGTGAAGCGAAGCTTTTTGCAGAACATCATCTACCGCAAAATTGACGAGAAACGGAGAGATAAGGAAACCCTGTCGTACTCCAGTGGTGACAGGAAATGAGGGTGAAAGTTCACCATGGGCTTTTCCCCGAAGTGTCGTGGCAGAGTGCAGGACACTTTTCGGAAACTCCGTATCTCCGCAAACAGTTCCACAGTGCGAGACGATCGATGGAGTCGAAGTCCGCTCTGGTGTTCAAAAACAAGACAACGGTTTGTCGTCTGTTTGTGTGGCGGCGTTCTAGTAGCTGACGAGGAGTGAAGATTTGGTCTATGAAACCACGGCGAGCACGAAACCCGGGCTGCGGATTTGTCTTTAAGGAAGTGAGTTTAGGCTGCGTAATACAACAGACTCTAACAGTTTTGGCGCTATTGGAATCAGACTTATACCCTTGTGGTTGGAGCAGCCTTTCTTGTGGATGAAAGTAACAATCGATTGTCCCCATATGTGGAGGGCACTTTCAGTATCACAGATCTTCAGGAACAGTCTAACAAGATCTCCCACGAGAGTTTCTTCACCATCTTTAAAGAGTGTGGGTGGCAGGCCGTTTGATCCAGTTGCCTTGTGGCGTTTCGAGGCTTGAAGGTCCATTCGGACCTCCGCTTCTGTGGGCAGTTCCGTGAAAAGTGGCCAAGGTGCACTCTCAAGATAACTATTTGTTTCAGTTTCAGGTTTCACAACCATCAACCGTGCACTTTCGTGAGTCGGTTTTGGTTCCTGTCGTTTGGTGGCTCGTTTTTATAAAAGAGCAGGATTGGAATGTTGAGGGCAGATTCAAGGAAAAAGTAGAGAATTCATATACACTAGGGTTGCAAGAATATTGAGCAGATGCACGAGCGCCACCTTTGCGACACTCAGCTTCTCCAAGCAGCGGTTACAACAATCTCGGGGTCCCCATCCAGGGGGCCTAACGTGACCGATTTGACCCAGACTCCTGGTTAGGATTTTCATACCCTCAGATCTTAGTTTGACCACCCATGACCTTTGGCCATTCGCTAACTACCTCGCTCGCCGTGCCAATCTATTTGGTGACATGCGCAACACATGTTCCAACTAGCGTAATCTATGGAGGTCGTCAACTTTCTCAAGTGGACGTCTACTATTAACTAAAACCCTAAGCCTAATCGCAGCATTGTGCGTACGGTTTCCCCACCAAACTCATGCAATGTGAGGTAGACAGCGGTGTTCGAACACCGAGAATCTATTTTTATTCTATTCCCATAATGGCCAAGTCTCTGCACCTAGCTGAAAGGCAATCAGAGTTTCGCTTCGAGGGCCGATTTGCACTTATTGTCTATAAAGTATTGTAGACACCCGTTTCTGGTGGCTTTTCTGCGGCTGTTTACTAAGAGTAGCACAGTGTGTGGGTGTTGACCAACAGGAGCGATATTGTTCAATGGATCCTCGCCAGCGGTGGTTGATGGCGATGTGATCGATTCGACTACAGCGCTGTGAAGAGAAGAGCAATTTTTACGTAAGGCGGTGTCGTTTCTTGCGCGAGATGATTCTTGACAGGACCAATCCGTGGTCAGCGCAGAGCTGGAGTAGACGTTTGCCGTCTCGGTTAGCTGGAATCGCGGGTATACCACGAGAGAAGGAATCCCACTAGAGCATTGAAGTCTCCAGCGACTACCACATGAAGACGAGGTTGGATTTACAGAGCGCAAATTAATGGTTGAAGTAGGGTCATGTATGCGTTTTTGAAACAGCATACATCTAAATTGAAAGCTTCAAGAGTTCTAGCAAAGTCGGCTTGTTGACCAATCAGACCGTGAAGGCGGCTAAGTGAGGAGATTTCGGCTTCAGAAATCTGATAAATTCTGGTTGGTTGACCTTGATGGATAAACGCTAAGCGATATCCCATGGGTGGCGCAAACGGGATGCATCTCCTGGGGTTTGGGAGTGAGAAGATGAAGTGAACAGATGAAAGAGCGGCTTTTTCCAAATGAGTACCTAAAACTTTGAGCCACGAAATGCTTCGCGGCAGTTTACACCGACGAAAGAACTCGCTTTGGGAAGCCGAAGCCTTTGACTCAAAATTCTGACCAACAAGGCAGTGAGGCGTACATCGAACGCGGGAGCGTGGCCGAAGCGTCCATAAGAGAGCATCTGGAGACTCTTCATGCAAGGCCTTTGAATTTCGGTTCAGCGTGTTGTTCGCTGGTGCGTTGATTATCGGTCCGCTTTTCGGGATCGACCCTTAGCCTCATGCACCCAATTAGACTAGCGGAACGTGGACGGGACAGCACCTTATTGGCTGGGGGCTGTCCAGCTTGGGCGGGTGGTAGCTGTCCAATGAAGTGCGAAGACTTCTCTCACCGTCGAGAGGAAGCCCCAGGTACCCCGCTCCTACGTCCATCTAACGGGGTATTTTTGATCGGTAACTGCCCCTCACCGGAGTGACCTCTCCATCGGCGAGTGTGGATGGAAGCAAGAAACCAGGAGGTGCCCAAGCAGCTGGCTTGTGAGACTGAGTTTCGTCTGGCCTCTACCCGTTGACCTTTCAGGCATGATTGGATCTCCGGCTGTGAAAAGCCATCCTGTATAGCTCGCAGGGTCATGGAGGCATGCAAGCCATCATACCATGTCAAGGTGCAGTCTTACAGTGATGGCCAATTCAGATCAATAAGCTTTCATGGTTAGAACACGTCTAACTTGTATTTTACGGTTACCTAGAGCACTGTTCCTAATTCGCAATTGCCGCTTCCTGAAAAAGAGAATCACACAGAGGTCAACAGATGTCGTGGAGACGAGGCATGAAGAACTGTTGAGAGCGATTAGGTAGAGTAGGCGTCTCTTGTCTAGCAGGCTGGGGTTCAAAAGAGTCTATCTACTTTTGGTGACACTAAAGGACATCGCAGCGAACTGAAGTGGCGTTCTTCTCTTCTCTTATCTCACCAGAGCACTTGAAAGTATGTACGCATAGTTGAACTGCAGTTAACGGCCTTGGCAACTTGCCATAGAGTTTGAGTGTGAGTTATGCTTTTGTCTTAGTGGATCCTTTGGCTGACGGGGTCTATCTTTTCACTCCCTTTCACATTATCAGGTAAACCTCTAGATGGAGGTGGTTCCAGTACACGTGAGACTATACCGATATTTAGTTGCGCTGCGTATCGGTTCACTTAGGACATCCTTCCGCATAATGGAGCTCAAGCATATTAGTGTAATCTGACCATAGGGGTTCACTCTTCCCTCTCCCTCTAAAACAGCTCAATACCTATCTACCTTACACATTCTCACTTACCTCGTATACATTTTGAGCTTGGCAAGGATCAATGAAGTGAAATTCACCGTATTCTGCTGTACGATGACCACTATCCAAAGTGNGCTGTACGATGACCACTATCCAAAGTGGTCGCATGCCACATTGGGATGCGTTTATTTCGAACAACTGAGTGCAATCCACCGACTTGACAGGCATCAATTTGGCCGGTTCAAGTTGTTTACCGATATGAATTAGTGAGGGGATTTATGAGGATAGGCGATTATCTACTGTGATTTCTTTTAGTGTCCATCAACTGAAAGCACTGATGAAAAGAACAGTTTAATCATGTATGGATAGTGAGGTGTAGAAAATCACTCAAGTGAAATAATCAACAATGAAACTTACATTGTTTAGCAATATTTGTTCAAACTCGGCAGCTGAAAGAGATCCGATGGCATTTTCCTTATCTGCAACATTTGCGTTGTGGTCAAGGAATTTCTGTAAATTGCGCATATTTGTACCGAAATAAGGGTCCTATGAAAACGAGAAAATGGGATCGTGTTTGGTAATTAAAAAGCCGATCGAATCGGTTGTTTGTCAAGATAAAGTGATAGCAGTAAATGATGGATAAGATTGAGTTATGAAAACATGCACTATTCCAGCAATGTTTAAAAAAGGATTTTGTCCAAAACAACGTCATTAACAGCATTACGCAGGCCCTGTGTGGTTGCACAGACTGATAGCATCATGCCAATTTTCAATACACACCGGAAAATGATGCAGGAAGACAATGAAATCCGTAATCGCCTGAGTATTCAGTTGGGAAACGATAGCAACGTGCGGCAAAAAATGATTCCAATATGTGTTAAAAACACCTGATAATTCCAGAACAAATATTAGATTGAACTTAGGAGGACCGGGTTCGCCTTCTTTCTCGTATTTCAACGTTTTTGTTCGCCCTTGGATTGAACTACTTTCCTAAAGCAACAAAAATCAATCGAAAGTGTTACCTCAAGCTGTAAAGCCGATGCCTTTTATGGGAGTTAAGTACTTCAGTCAGGGCATGAATACAATGGCTTCATAATTTGTCTAGCCTTGGC